CGAAACAACAAAGGCAACACACTGGTAAGATATTGGTATGCTCACCATCGCTCCTCAACCCATCTCCAGCAGAGATGGAGATGCGTCCCCACACTGCGAATGACTGGGGCAGTGCTGGCATAACTGCTCACTGTCATTTGGGCCCATCCATTCCAAGCCATTTTGAGAGAGAGACTTTTTTTTGTAAGGACTCCTATACTTTACCTTGTCTTGGATAGAACAGCAAGAAAAGTGTTTATGTCCAAGGATTCAATTCCTTTATGCATATGTTGATAAAGAAATAAAGGTGGTCCAAACAGCCAAGAAATGCCAACACTGTTGACGGGATTAGAGGTTTTTGGTGGGTTTTTTGTTTTGGGGTTCCCCCCCCCCCCCAGTTTAGAGTAACTTCTACTTAGGTACCTAACCACAGGTTTAACAGATGAGCTTTAGCTACCCAAACTGTACATAGTTTGTGCATATCTTTTTTCCCCAAGGTTTCATCCAGCTGAAAGTCTACTCAAGCTGCCTGTCACAGTTTTTTCCCCTGTGAGAATCTTCCCACTTCTCTTATTAAGAGTATGTCCTGGGTTAAGCTGAGACAGAGTTAACTCTCTCCATAGTAGCTAGCAAGAGGCTGTGTTTTGGATTTGTGCTCAGAAGAAAGCTGGTAAAAAATGATGTTTACACGCTGCTAAGGTCTGCAGGCCAGAGAAGCTGGGAGGGAGCACAGCCCCAGTTACTAGCTCAGGCTTTAATCTTAGGTTCAGGACTGAGACCCAGAGTGGCCAATAATCTATTCCATAACATACACGTCACGCCCAGTATATAGGTGAGGACCCTCCAGAAGATCGGCTCTTTTTGGTTCCGGATCTCTTTTGCTCCCGGTCATCTCACTGCAGGTGGCCCCTCTCCCAAGGCCTTCCCACCCCCACCCTGGTCAGCTCTGGGTCTGGGACGCTTGGACTGTTATCTCCGTTCTGTGAGTGCGATTTCAGGACTCTCCCTGCTCTGGGATCTTTAGGTGGGAACAGGCTGAGCCTTGGTCATCGGGTGGGGGGGGGCAGTATCACTGTGTATCACTCATTTGTATATTTGTATATAGTATTATTTTCAATATGATTGTAGTTTAGTTATTAAATTGTCCTTATCTCAACCGAGTCCTTTTTTCCCTTTACCCCTTTAATACTCTCCCCTATCCTCGGCTGAGGGGGGGAATTGTGTGAACGGGTGTGTGTGGTTTGGCCCCCAGCCAAGGGCTAACCCATCAGAGTACACAGTATTTTTCAGAATTTCATGTTTCATACAATAAACAGATTGATTTTGAATATTTGCAAGTCTGTATTTCATTGCCTTTTTACTACAACATAGCATCTAATCAAAACCCCAACATCCTAGCTTGCTTTTGTGACCGGGATCATCACCTCTGAAGCATATCCTGTTACCACAGTTTGCCACGTTAAATACACAGACCCAGCAATGAATGTCTTGCCTGGGAGGTATATACCACCCTCTAAT